TATTTATTTATACAAATAAATATATAAACATAATTTAAATATATATTTTTAATTAACATATATTGGTATACATATAAATATATCTATTTTCATTTATATATGCATATGAATATATATAAGCACGATTAAAAAATATGTTTATTTAAAACTATCATTGAAAATACATATATAATATAGCTTGGAAAAAGAAATGTATATGTATATATATATTTCTTCTTCAAATTATGCTTATATCTATCTAGATAAAACTGTAATTAATAGGTGCCAGTAAATGAAATACAACAAGAATTTTTCGGAAGAATTACAACAAAACATTTTTTTCGTTAGCAACTGGCAACAAACGCCAAACATTTGAGTCAAAAGGCTTTTGTGATGAAAAAATACGTAATCAGTGTGTAAATTAAATATTATGACAGCGCAACAGTAAAAAATTTTGATTAGATCTTAAATGCCGAGCCGGCTGGAACTGAACACTTTCCAACATGAAAAACTTCAGCTAGAATTGAAGCACCGTAATTTGCAGAGACACCAAAATACCGCGGCAAATGAAGGTATACTCCAACCTAATCGCACTAATCTTATATTGACCCACAACATAGCCAAAATACCAACTTGCTATTTCAGTATTTTGTACACAATTATGCGTTCATGAAAATACTTTTTTTAGCGAATTTGAAATGTCGTATTTTCAGATACGACGTTTTCAATTTCTGCTCTTACTTTCATTTCTTACCCACTTTGTTGGTACAGACATACCATTATTTTTCTGAATCTACGAAAACGAAGAAATATAAAGCATAAATCCAGAGCCATGTTATTAGAAGAGTCATGTTATTCAAAAACAAGTAACTTTTTGAGATGCTCCCCTTTTAATTCTGCAAATTTGAGACCAGTTCCTAAAAGTGGCAGGGTTTGAAAAAATATGAGAGGTCAACCAAAAAAGGAGTGCAAGCCCAAATAATGTGACCTATATGCAATTTGTATATATAACCTCTACCTCATGAAAGTATGAAAACACTGTAATTAACCAAAATTATAATCGTCATTTAGAAGGTCTCTTACAACAAGGAATTACCTAACCGGTTTGCATGGCGACAGCTGTAGTTCCAGCATTCTTATGTATCGCTGGGCGTTCACCAAGGATCGTTTAAGTGCTAAATTTTCTTCGCTGAGCGATCCAAAATCAAGTGATAGCACAGAGATCCCTTTCAATATTTTTTTATTTCGAGGACTTAAAGAAGTAATTTGTCCTAAAACAATTTTATCTTAAAATGGGCAAGCCAAAAATAATATTTTAAAAAGAAGTCAAACACATTTTTGTAACGGGTCGCTATGTTGCTGAAGAAGACAGCTACAGAGTTTACCAGATATGTAGTCTTCCATGTTCCGAATCCTAGCTTCCTGTTCGTCAATTATATCTTCAAGATTTTGTATTAGCTGATTTTTAACCTTAAGATGTGCTTCTAAAATGGCTTCCCGAACCCGTTCACACTTTTCTTCTACTTGATGACTGCAGCTACACTCTCGAAATGATTCAAGCCCTTTCCGAAAATCAATAGAAGATGACGCTGAAATTAATAATAATTGTTGAAAATTTCTTTTAATAATTTTTGACTATTTATTGCAAGAAAATTGCATCAAAATTTATTGAAAAAATCCTCACAAATAGACGAAAACCAAACAAGAAAGCTCAAACGTTAGATCACTAAGTAAAAAATATATATCTTCATAGCCTGCCTGGGTCGCGTTTGTTGTCCATCACTTCAAGTACCTAGCCTCCTGTTTCATTCAGTAAAGTACAGTTATATGCTGAAAAAAAAAGATGGAAATTTGAAACTAGGTGTAACTATAGCTTCAGCGTGAACAGCGTAAACAGTATGATACAGGAGAAAATAATAGAGATTAAGCTACTCCAAAACCTGTAAATGTTAAACCACAAAAACTAAGTATAACCCGTTAAGTGGACAAGATACTATCTGCTAAAGAAAGAGAAAAAAAGAACTAAAAGACGTAGTTTAGCTAAGAAAAATCTTAGCAAAGTCTAAAAAGTAATAAAAGTGTTATTTTTCGAGTATCTTGTTGTGTTTAAAAGGATCAAAAATTTTTGGGCGTTCAATGACTTTTGTCACAGTATTGAGTAGTTTTGACAAGCTTACCGTAATAGTGGCGTAAATGTAAAAGATTACTAAGTACGCGAATATCAAGCAAAAATAGAAGAACAGCATTTTTATGAACGAAAGCATTGTTTTTTATGAGAAATATAGTAAGTCTATTATCAAGCAAAGTTTGCTTATAAACTTACTACATTGGTTTGAAAAATCCCAAGCAAAGATAGCAACCTTATATACTCAGGAGTAAATTTACTGTAAAACATCTACTTTTTGAACACTAATCGATCTTTTTAAATTACGCCAATGCTTTTCTACTGAATGTCTTTAAAACTGAAATACGACTTTTTTTTAACTTTTGTCATGTATTTTTTTTCATTAAACCTTCTCATCAAACCTAATAAACCATAAATTAATAAACGAGTTAAAATATGGCGATAAAAACAGTACTTTTGTTCAGCTATGTTGTAACAGCTATTTCTTAAGAATTTACGCTACTTATTTTACTGCGCTCTAGATTTACACAATACCTTAACGCTTTCGTATATAGTAATCTGCTGCACCTTCAGTAACAGCAGACATGTTTCGCTTTGAAGTGGAGTGGAATGGGTACCAATATCAAGTGTTCCGTACAGAACAACATAAAATTTTCCGTATGCCTACTTCACTCGTGTCATAAAAGAGCTTACTTATTAGAAATATAAAGGTTAGTTTAGTTTTAATTGATAGAGCCTGAGCTGTTATATAAATATTTCAAATCCAAAAAAAAAAAAAAGAAAAAACGCTATCTGGTTTTACCAATTTGTCAATAAACGGAATTAACATACTATTGGTGATTAAGGAAATAAAATTCCATAATAACAGTATTGAAAAACTCTCTACAACTGTATTCAGAAGCGTAACTGCTGTATATTGGAACAATCAGTTGTTACGTTCCAAGTATACCAAAAATAGGGTTGCAGCAAAATAACGCTGCCTGGCGAAGTGTCAAGAGTAGCATCTAAAGTCATCACATTAAGTAACAGAAATACTTGATTTGTAAAAGTGTTAAGAAGGAAATAAGGCGAAACAATTGTCTCTAGCACAGCGCTATCACCGATCTGATTAGCCACTTACAACAAACCATTCTACTCCAAAGTACGTTCTCTGTTCAGAACATAAATATTTAAAGTCTGCTTAAAGACAATACAAATTTTTATTTGAAACTCTGAAAACAAGCTGCCTCATTGATTCAGCAAGATTCGAATAAAAAAAGAAACTGGTTAAACATAAACAATTATCTAAACTATCAATCTGAAAAGAAGAAAAGAGAAGAAAGTTATAAATTAACTTGTATCAGTGACTAAACTGTATTTTAGCAGATTGAGGCAGCAGCTGACGAAACTATGTTTGATAACGAAGAAGTTACATCAAATAACTGAATATAATTTGTTTTAATATTCTTTTCACTTTTATTCAAAACTCAATCCAGGTTTTTTAACGTGTATAATTGCAGCGGTTAAAAACTTTTAACTTTTTGATATCTAAATTTTCTGCATTTAAATTGGGTTAGAAAAACAGCATTTATTTCAGCAGCAATATAGACCCAAAAAGTGATAGTAAAGAAAGCATCCAGCTTCTGGTTAATCGCTCTTACTCAGCCAAAAAACAGGATACTAGCTTTTGGAGACAACTATTCCTGTCGTGTTTCCCAACAGAATGCTTTGAAAAGACCGAACAATAAACATATTTTCAAATAGCAGAAGTATGAAAAACTGGTAAATATAAAAGAAAATAGTGATGATATTTAAGACCTGACAACTCAATAAATGCATTTTCTCTCTAACTATTGCAAATTGGTCTTTGTTAACAGACCAGAAAGAACTAATAAGTTACTTATTATCAATTTGCCAAAAATATGCCGAGGATCAGTGTACTTTCTTAGTTTTTAAAGGAAACGATCAGCATACGGTGAACAAAACAGATAGACAGCCAACCTCCTTTATGACGTTTCAAGCCAAAACTTTTTACCAAACTGCCAAAGTGATGCATGACTAAGAGCTCAGAAGTCGATTTTTATACAAAACTTTCACAACTCCAAATCTTGAAGCCAGAATTCTTCATGAAAATTCATTTAATGACTTCTTCTAAAGGCTAAAGAAAGAACAGAAATTTGGTTACGATATTCTGTGACTTAGCAATTCACAATCCTGACAATTGAGAACCCATTTCTGTGCAGTTAAAGTAGATTACTTCCAACTAAATCTTAAAAAGAAATCATTTGTTTATCAAATCTGAACAATTTGAGGTGCCCCACTAAATTTTAAAGTTAACAACGTTGAAGAGTATCAGCTCAAATTTAACCAATTTTAAATTTAGCAGTTTTATCCGTTCAGAGTCCTTTGCCTCTCATTTGAAAAAGAACACATGAAATGTACACATCCAAATTCAGAACGTGTACTCAGATGACAGAATATAAAAGTGAGGAGGTCACCAATTCAGAAGTTCTCTTTTAAACTGTAGTGAATTAACTTTTATTCAACACTCTACGAAGCAGCAGGAGTTAGAAAATAAGACCGTATTTCAGAACCTCTGTAAGTCAGGAAAGCAATAATCCGCTTAAATCAGCCCCCTTCATTTACAGACCGTTTTAAAAAAAAAAATTCTGTATCTGATAGAGATAAGAGTAATTTTCAGCTAAAAAACAATTAGAAAATAGTTGGTGAATTGAAGAAGATTTGATTGCATTTCCAGACTTTTAGACTGGCCATAATGCAAAAATCAGCTCTTCTATTTCCTCTCTAAAAATTTACAACGATTTCTTGCCGTTACAAAGATAACAAAAAATTGATTGTTTAAAGAGAGCACAAAATTTAGCAAAAGCAACTTACAAAAAAAATAAATAAATAAAAATAAAAATAAAAACACAAATGAGATTGCAGTTTTGGTCATAAAAACGGCTCAAATATGTGTCAGTAAATTGAAAAGGTAAAATATATCTAACACTGTGCAAAAATTTTTTGGCAACCAGAAAGCAAACAAACAATGAGTTTTTTGTAAAAGCGTAACGAAAAAAAAAAGAGGATAAATGAGTGAAAAACGAGTTAGTTTTAGATGATAAAATTTCAATCAATGTAAAATAGTCCTATAGTAATTCAAATATTAAGTCCAATAGTGTCAACAAAACAGCGATAATGGGAAATTTTGTCAGTTTACTAAAAAGCTGTTGAAAAGGATACTGATGTAGGACTTTTTTTAGAATGGAACATGAACACTTTTTTTT